TTTTTGGTTGTGCAAACCAACTGTTTCAGCAGCTGTCTGAGTGGCTGGTCTTAGACAATCTTGGAGGTGAACGTGCTGGATGTGGAGGTCCTGGGCTGGTGTAGTTACACGTCATCTGCGGTTGTGAGGCCGGTTGGATGTACTGCCATATTCTCTGAAACGCCTTTGGAGATGGCTTATGGTAGAGAAATGAACATTCAATGCACGAGCAACAGATCTGGTTGACATTCCTGCTGTCAGCATGCCAATTGCACACTCCCTCAATGCTTGTGGCATCTGTAGCTTTTTGCTGTGAGACAAAACTGCACATTCCAGGGTGGCCTTTTATTGTGGGCAGTTTAAGGTACACCTGTGCACTACCCATGATGTCAGATCAGCATCTTGATGTGGCACACCTGTGAGGTGGGATGGATTATCTCAGCAAAGCAGAAGTGCTCACTGTCACACATTTAGACTGATTTGTGAACAATGTTTGAGAGAAATGGTAATATTGTGTATCTGGAATGAATTTTAGATCTTTAAGTCCATCTCATGAAAAATCAGAGCAGAAACAAAGGTGTTGCGTTCATATTTTTGTTGAGTGTAGATTAGCCCATCGACATATAGAATGTAACACAAAAGTTGAGGCAAAACAAGCAGCTTCCACCGGTTGGCTGCGGCACAAGTCTTTATGACCATCATTAACCCTCTCAGGCTCAAAATAGATTTTGATAAACGGTCAAACAACTAAGTCCTTCAGGGGTACTTCTGAGTTAAAAAAATGCTCATGAAATACGTATGTGGAGTAACCAGGTAGGCAGGTTTTAACGTTGCAGATCTACAACGCCTTCCTCCAGAGGGTTAAGGGCATTTTTTCTAATTTAGAAATTAAATACAACATACCTTTCCATATGGTATTTATGGAAAAGTATCTTCGTACAAGGACTGTGTTTTTTAAGTATGAAATGGATACTTAAAACCTAATGTCTGAACCACTTATTGCTCAGAAGGGTTGCAGGGAGCTGGTGTATATCTCCAGTGGTCACTGGGTTAGAGCCAATGAACACCCTGGATAGGTCTAATGTCCATAATAGGGCCTTACAGAGAAAAACAACCAGCTCACTTAGCCTTGAAATCTTGACAAACCGTTGGGAGTAGAAAATAATGTTGCTCAGTCACGCGCTCTACTGCAGTCTTAGCAGGTCTACCATTAGCTTGCCTGGGCAGTTTTGTGCCAATAACGGCACTCTACTTTAACTGGGCGAGCCAAGCTACAGAGGCGCGATGGAGGAAAACTACAAAGATGGAGTTGGCTGTGGAATGGTGCTCTTTTGAAACAGCTTTGGCTTAAACTTTGGATGATTTAGACTTGGCATTTCTTTGAAACATTAACAGATAGCGGTACCCAAGTTCTTTATTTTGACAAAGGATGTATTTGCTTCATCTTCTTCAACAGTCTATGGCTGAGTGCCCAGTTGACTGATTTGCATAGCAATGAGTATGTCAATTGGTTGTGGGCGCAGATTTCCAGGTTTCCTGGTTCCAGAGCCAATCATATTTGAGCCAGACTAGCCGTTCTATTCTGCAATAAAGCTTCTTTCACTCATGCCTCCAAATGCACCCTTGTTAAGATAACTGCACTGCCACATTTGGATTATGGTGACATTATATATACAGTACAGGCCAAAAGTTTGGACAAATTTGTTTTCTTTATTTTTATGAGCATGACAATTTACAAAGGGGCCAAAAAGTGCTCAACACCTTTGGAAACTCCTTCAAGACTGTTGGAAAACCATTTCAGGTGACTACCTCTTGAAGCTCATCAAGAAAATGCCAAGAGTGTGCAAAGCAGTGATCAGAACGAAGAGTGGCTATTTTGAAGAAAATAGAATATAAAACACATTTTCAGTTATTTCACCTTTTTTGGTTAAGTACATAACTCCACATGTGTTCATTCATAGTTTTGATGCCTTCAGTGAGAATCTACCAATGTAAATGGTCATGAAAATAAAGAAAATGCATTGAATGAGAAGGTGTGTCCAAACTTTTGGCCTGTACTGTAGAATGGCACCAGACACAGCCCTCCAAAAAAATTTGATACACTTTTATCATTCAGCCATCCGTTTTGCCACTAATGCTCCCTTTCATACCCATCATTGTGATCTGTATAAACTGGTGGGCTAGCCCTCGCTTCACACCTGGCACCTCCATCATTGGGTTCTCTTCATATACAAGACACTCCTGGGAAAGACACCTCTGTACCTTTCATCTCTTCTTCATGCTACTCATAACACTTGCCAATCAAGATCAAGCAACATTATGAAGTTTAACATCCCCCCACAATCCACTACCTTTTGACATAACGCCTTTTGATTTGCTGCAGCACATCCTCAAACTTACATCCTTGATCCAAATCTCTAAATTCAAGCAAACCATCCAAAATACAATAGTTGGCTGTTGTTCCTGCTGACAATACTGAAAATACACATATAAGCCATTTTACTTTTCTTTTATATTCACATATTTTAATGTAAATGTTTGTGCTTTACGCATCTTCTGTACGTTTGGTGCGTTTGTGCTTTGTTTTATATTGCATGCATTGTTTGTTTTACTTGTTTATGCAGCCTGTTGGCCAGGTCATGTTTGTTAGTGAGAAGTGGTTCTCAAACAGTTCACCTGGATAAATAAAGGTTAAATACATTTCTAATCGGTCGATAAAAAGCAACAGCATTGTGAAAAAAAATGAAAGTCAGTAAAAGGAGCAGCCCAGAAGTTATTTCCTGTACCTCTACAAAGCCACGGCATCCTTTTTGTTTTACTCTAATATCGGGAAAAGAAGAGGCTAATGTTGAGTTAACAGTGCTAACAACAATGCAAATTACAATAAAATGCATTAATTTATGCTAACTTACTGTGTATGACTCATCTCCATTTCCATAACTGGCAACAGCTACTCATGGACTGCATTACCCAAATTTGACCACAGAATGTCACTCTTACTTCATGCCTTTAAGAGTTCCTATTTCACAGATTTCAGGTTGTTGAGGCGCAATGTGAGAACATGGTCTGTCCAAACATTGCGAGATTTTAATCTCTGGGAGACAGTCAAAGTCCACAGAGAAATTCCATATGAACTGTATGAACTGCGCCAACATGCAGCCCTACAACCTAATCTGTTGTACAAAAAATATCAGTAGATGTCTGCATCTTAAAAATAGTCTCTCATTCATCTCTTTGGCAGGGACCAGACCTAAAGCTTTTGCTGCAGCCAACCACTAGAGGGCATCTACTTTGTTTCAGCTTCAAACTCTACATTATATTACTGTGTATAGCATGCTTATGCCAGTGTTATGTATTCAAAATAAATATGACTGTTATGCAATGGTTGATGAACACAGAAACGGTTTTTATTTAAAATTAAAATGTTTTATTAGCCTTACTGGATACATTTCCCACTGCAGAGTGCTAATAGTCGGGTGCTTTCCCAGACCTTGGACGAGTCACGGTGCAGTGACGATGCTGAAATATATGATGAGTTTAATCTCAGTTCGCCTCTGAGCCTCCCACATTAAGATCAGCAGGCTGAGGCAGTCGAGAAGGGGGAATTCAGGCAGCTCCATGAATCTTTAATTAGTTCCCTCTATACTTAGGTCCTCAGTGCATCTCCAGTTTCTGACATTTATCTGAAATTTGCCCTTTAAAATGTGGAGATGTGAAAAAGCCAAGGTCATTCGGCTGACCACAGCCATATCAAAATCTGCTGCTTTGTTCTCAGGGTGAGGACTCAAATCTGCCAAGTCATTAGACGGTACAAGGCTGAAGCTCTTCTTGTTGCACATGTTGGGCTACAAAGACAAACCTCATACTTCATGTTTTTCTCATAGAAAAGCAGCGTTTCTGCTGTGAAATCTCTTATTTACAATATGAAGCCTTTACTTAGGTTTGAAAATAGGCTCTTAACAAAACGGTGCAGCATGACAAGCCCACTTTGAGTGCCATCCCTCAAATCAATAACCATTGAAATATAATCTTTCCCATATATTTGTTTCTTCAGCAGGATGATTAAATTACATCCAAACATGCTGACATGATTTGAGCTCTCTTGTAAAATTATTGGTTTAAAAAAAGTCCATAGCTACCCTGACATGTCACTTTATTAACATTTAGGCATTTTGTCTGATTAGACGACATTTTTGCATATTTTATTTATGCAAGAAAAAAAGAAAACAATGCTGTGCAGGAACTTCTACTGGTCTTGAAAACAGCATATGTTTGCTTCATAATGCATGATGCATGATGTCAGCAGAGATTAGTTGAACCATATGGCACCTCAGCAGTTTACGTGTTTCCAAAGACTCTTTAAAAAGGGCTATTTCTAGATTATACTCAAAGAATGAAAAAAAAAGATATTAGCAAAAGAAAAGTATTGGATGGACTATTAAAGCTACCGTAAGCACATAGAGGCCTTGGAAAAGCATTTCTGCTTCCAGCATCAGCTTTTTGTTAAAAGCATTATTAGTATTAGTCAGAAACTTTCCTTGTCTTGCACCTTTCTAGCTACTCGTTCTTTTTTGAAACATGTCATTGATGCTTTAGAAAACTGGAGGATTGTGCTTAAAAAGGCGACATTATATGAATTAAAGTGACGTCTCGCTCCCTGATTAAAATGCTCATTTCCTTCCATGATTTAGATGTTTTTATCTTAGCTTAGCTATATTATCTTTTGATGTTCGTAGACACAAACCAACTCATTTTTCATTTCACTGTGGGCAGAATGAAGCATTAAAACTGCAGTTATCATGACTATTAAACAGCTCACAGTTGATGGCTCTCTTGCCAGGAGGCTTATGCATGTTTTCAAATCTTGCTTTTTGAATTTTGAATTTTTCAGCAAATCTCAGACTTGTAACTTTTTAAGACCTTCCTAAGCAGATCATTATCAAACCGACATTTCTGCTGCTGACAACATTTATTCAGATTTTTTTTCCTGACGTTAAACCCACACAAGCACCCATACTTACTGTGGTGAAGTTCTCCGGACCACAGTCCTTGCCTCTGTATTTGCAGTCCAGCAACATTTCTTCTATGTTGTGGCTCGTCCTTTGCACAAACTCTAACATGTTGAAGGACTTGCTGGGAAGTTTGCTGCCATCTGTGTCTTGTCCTAAAGCAGCCATGAAATCATCAATGTCATCCTTTTCCACACCGAGCATCGCGCCCATCCAGAAGATGTCACTCCTACTGACCTGAGACTTTCGAAAACTGTTGTAATTACAAAGGGATATTGCTGGGAAATACATGACGGGACTGTCCATTTCATCCAGGATGGTGTTATAGGGGTACTGGTAATACTCAATCACACGGTCGGCCACTTGGAGGAGGAAGATGGACAGCGAGGAGCAGAATGCAGCAGCCCAAAGCAAGCGCCGTATTGTCACTCCACCAGGCAAAAAGATGTGACTCAGGCCATGAAGAGTACAGTTGGCCCCAAACACGGTGATGTCGGAGGGCGGACGTGGTTCTTCCTCCTCTGGAGCTCCCATTTCCCCCCAAAAGCTATATCTAAGCTAAGCTCTGATTCAGCTGGATGTGTTTTTACAGCTAAAGTACTAAAAAGGTAGCAGAGCAGTTCAGCCAAACTCAATGCACAACAGACAGGGCAAGACAGGGTCTGGTTTCCCCTTTGCGCTTTAGGGAGGGGACTGGGTTGGATTTCTGGAGCTGAGAGACAGTGATAAAATGCAAAATCAACCAATCCTCGATGAGATGGTAGAGGGCACTTTGAATCGGAAAGCTCGGGTTTCATTTGGGAAGTAAGCTCTCATCCAACAGCAGGCAGTGGTGAAGGAATCCCAGAGGGATGCAGCAAAGATAAAACATGATACGTATTCAGTCTTCAAATGACCTATGAGACCCCCAAATCTTCTTGAGAGTTACACACGGATCAATGTTTTCTTATAATTACTCCCCTACAAACTTTTACATGAAGAACCTTTGTTTTAATAGCTAACATGGAGAATTAATGAGCAGCAAAACTCTTTGACCTAAACAAACTCCTTAGCAATAGCCCAGATGTTTGGTTAGAAAGCTAAAAACAACACTGCTTCTTTATAAATATATCAAAAAGTGACATTTTACTGATGCAAAATGTCAGCAATCCCCAATTAGAGTCACATGTTTTCACTGAAAGGGCAAAAAACTTTGCAACCACAGTTCCATGTTGTTAAATGGCTGAAAACCACATAGAAACCAACCCATTAGTGCATTTCTTTGGCCCATTAGGAAAGAATAACACTAATTTCCCCCCTTTGAAAAGTTGTGTATTACCATTTGCTGCTCTTCTTCCTAGCCGTAGAGTTCTGATAAAATGGAAGATCAGAATTCCTGCTAGTGGTTCCCAAACTGGGGTCCCTCTCTGTGCTGAGGTTGTGAGGTTAGCGAGAACTTATTTGTAAAAATTACATTAATAAATCTCAATAACACACCCTCCATCCATCCATCCATCCATCCATCCATCTTTGGCTGCTAATCCGGAATCGGGTCGCGAGAGCAGCAGCTTAAACAAGGAGGCCCAGACTGCCCTCACCCCAGTCACGTGGGCCAGCTCCATCTGGGTGAATTCCAAGGTGTCCCCTGGCCAGCCGAGACACATAGTCCCTCCACCGTGTCCTGGGTTTCCCTTTAGGTCTCCTCCCTATTGGATGTGCCCAGAAAACCTCACCAGGGAGGCATCCGGGAGGCATTCTGACCAGATGCCCGAGTCACCTCAACTGGCTCCTCTCAATGTGGAGGAGCAGCGGATCTACTCCGAGCTTCACTTGGATGACCAAGCTTCTCACCCTGTCTCTAAGGGAGAACCCACACACCCTGCGGAGAAAACTAATTTTGGCTGCTTGTATCAGCGATCTCATTGTTTCAGCCACTACCCAAAGCTCGTGACCACAGGTGAGGGTAGGAATGTAGATCAACTGGTAAATCGAGATTGCCTTCTGGCTCAGCTCTCTCCTCACCATGACAGATCGGTACAATGCCTGTATCCCTGCAGACGCAGCACCAATCCACCTATAGATCTTGCACTTCATCTTTCCCTCACTTGTGGACAAGACCCCAAGACACACCTTACAGTCTAATCAGCAACCCAAATAAAAGTTATAACTCTATATGTCTGTGTAAAGTTAATAAATTATCCCATTTAATGTGTGTTTTTGTGGGGTTGGGGGTCCTGGCTTGTCTTGGACATGGGCAAGGGAATCCTCGTGTAAAAAAGTTTGGAACAACTGCACTAAACCATCATATTTGTAGAAACTGAATTTACATTTTTAAGTATATCAGAAAAAGTATCTTTGAGCAAGAATAACTGAGAAACTACATAAGCCAAAGCTAATGGACCACTATCCATCCTAAACCCAATAATTTTATTGACTTTTAGTCAGACTTGAAACTCTGAGTAAGCCTGAATAAGAATAAGAAGAAGAATGAAGATGAGGAAGAAAGAAGAATAAGACCTTTATAAAATTTGTTCTATTGATGGGCCTGGGAAGGGTTGGAGTGATTTGGATCAGAGCAGGTCGGGACACTGACCATATCGTTCATGGCCCCCTTCAGTGCATCAGTGATCTGGTTAGGGCAGTGCAGCCGGTGTCACACAACACATTACAATAATTGGGGTACAGAAAAACGTCACTGCTTGTGACAAGCAAAATAAACACCAGAGTGTTCTTGTTTGTACCATTATTTGTACAACTACGTGAGAAGATGCCAGAATGGCAATATTTGATCAGCCTCAGAACTACTAACATTCTTTACTATCATGGACAATAGCCTCATACAAGATGCTATGCATTTGAGTTTAACCCCGCCTTCCAAGTGTCCAACTGGCAATCAAAATGCTTTCCTGAAATTGCTGACCCTTAATGGTCCACACTGGTCCATGATGATCTGCTTCGACCCAGACCATTCTATTCAACGGAACCAAAGCATATAGAGTATCCAAGATGAGAAACATAAACTAAAAAATAATATCCCATTAAGCTTCAGTCAATACTAATTTCTTACGTTTGTAGCAAACATCAATCGTCCATCTCACTGCAGCTGCCTCCCTATCATGTGTTTTGTAAAAGCATCAATTATTAACGTCTTCTCCTGCCTTTATATATTACAATTCATGATCAGAGGTGAGTGTTTGCTGAGCTAAAACCCCAAGGCGATTTCAGATAATCTTGTTAAGGATCTGTCTGGGCTGGAATTGATTAGCTTTTAGATGTTCAGTTAAAAAAAGTGAATAAGCCAAGTGAGGTTGGACCTGGGTCTGTCAGGTAGTATTTACAGTATACGTAGATGGCATTATAACCTCTATCCTTTAACATGCCACGCGTCTGCACCCACCCATCAATCCATCTTCTTGGTTTGTATGTTTTTATAGATCCTCGCAACGTCACGCTTCATCAGCTCTCTACAACGTATTTATGGCTGTTTTTATGTTTTAAATGTAAGACATTTGCTCATTAAAAGTATGGTATTTTAGTTCTGTATCTTTAAATATCATGCTAATAAAACCTGCTGTTCTTGAAATTACAATTATTGATCTTCAAGGTCTGGGTTGGCCTTTAATGTTTCTCTTCAGCAACAATTTGTTTCTTTTAACTATGATTTTTTTAAAGGAATACTAGGCAGTTTTGCTTGCCTTTAGCACCCCCTAGTGTCTATTATGAATTCACTGAGGTTAAACAGAAAATGAAACATGTTTCCTCGCAGTGTTCCTCTTTTTAACACCTTAATCTAACTGCTGAAATGCCTCCACAGCCTTCATTACTATTTTTTATCAAATTATTCTCTAAGTGTAGGTGCTGCTGTAACAAGTGAATTTCCCCACTGTAGGATCAATAAAGTTTATTCTATTCTATTAGTTTCTAGAAGAGCAATCCATCTCTAAATCAAACAAATCTGCTGTGTGCATGATCTTAAACATGTAGGAAACGTGCTGGAAGCAAACTCCAGCTCCACCATGTCAGCTCCCGCCACCAGCAGGGAGCGACAAAACAACTCTCAACTTGCAAATGAGGTGTTGGTACCAGATCAGCTCGGGGTCCTGTGCCTGCTGAAGACATCACATTATGGCTTTCCACTCGGCTTTCACACTCAAGTTTTAGAAAGACATCAGCAGTTTTGTTAAGAACTCTTGTTTGTTACCACCTAAATATTTCCTTTATAATTGTATTTTGTTAATAAAACACCATTTCATATTTGTTTTGAAAAGAATGTGAAACTACATAAAATCAACATCAGACTGCCAAAAAAAAAGGCAACAGTTCTTATTTGTGAAGCCATATCTGTTTGTATTAATGTGGAATTCGTCTGTATATTTCCTTAGTTGGTATTCACTCATTCACTCAAAATGTTGCTTGGTGACTTTTCAATAAAGTTCTCATATTTTATTTTGCCCCATTTCATCAAAATCGAGAGCTTTTGAGGGTCACCGTATATCAGTTGATATTGCTGCTTTTATTTTACATTTCCTTTAGAAATTTAAACATATTTTCTCTCAAAAGAGTTGGTTTTTGGACTACAGGACTACAACTGTTACTTCGTTCTGACCAATCAAAATCATCATTGCCATAAGTCCTAAGTTCAGCCAAACATCTACTGTGACGTAATTTGGAGGCGCAGCACCCCGAGCAGATCTGGTACCGACAGCGGAACTCTGGTCACAGAGGGCGGAGCGGTCTGAGTATCATTTCATTAATGCTAAACGATCATTTTTTAATAAATTGATTAAAATTATGAAACGGTTACATATTATCCCTTTAAATACCAACAACTATCACTTTCAAGCTCTTTCGGCAGTTTTGTGTTTTAAAAAAATCTTTTTACTCAAAATTTTTCTCTAGATGCTAACTAGAGCAGAGACTGACAACACAACATTAACCCTCTGGAGGCAGGCATTGCACATTTGCAACGTTAAAACCCACCTACCTGGTAACTCCACATACGTAATTCATGAGCATTTTTTAACTCAGAAGTACCCCTGAAGGACTTAGTTGTTCGTCCTTTTATCAAAACTTATTTTGAGCCTGAGAGGGTTAAAAAAAACACATTGTTGTGAGATACATTTAAAACAGTAAAGTTTAAGACATTTGATTTGTATGACTGAAGCAAAGTTTGTGGCGACTATTGCTGTAGTTTAATTATCAGCAACAACCCCTTTCCCATAATGCGATGTCACACATAATTAATGCAAAGGGATTGATCGTAGAGCTTGAACTGTGCTATCATAAAAAGGGAGGTTGCCACTGTGTGTCTCAGCCATCACATTACTTTCTGTGTGATACCCCTCCTGAGAGATCAACAACAAACTTTCAGAGTTCTACTTTCTTCTCTGTAGAGTTGCCTCCCACAAAAGGTTTTTAACATCTGTCAGTCATGAATGTTCATAAACGCAGTAATTAATGTGTACTTACTGTTACATTTACAGTCTCTTTTTCTAAGTCTGAGTCTCGTCTAAAGTCTCTGATGATTGGAATAAATATTCAATCATCAGATTCCTGCCAGCTAGTCTGTCTAAAACACTGAAATGCTATATGTCATGAATTAAAATCATCTGTGGGCTAAGTACTTAGTCTGAGACGTGCAGTATAATCAGCTGCAGTCCAAGGATGTCTGAGGTGATTTAGAAGAAGAAGAAGAAGAAGAAGAAGAAGAAGAAGAAGAAGAAGAAGAAGAAGAAGAAGAAGAGGAAAATATCATTTCTATAGCGCCTCTCAAGATGAAAATCACGAGGCGCTTCACAAAACAAAATATGTAAAAATATAAAAAAGAATTTAGAAAATCCTTCAAAAATATTTTAAATGAGCAAAAAATAGACAATTGTGTTTTAAAAATGTTAAGAGAGAGAGTGAATAGGAAAGAGGGAAATCAGTGGATCCTGAGGAAGGTGGAATAGGTGGGAGAGCAGAATAAAGAGAGAGTGGTGAAGAAGGTCATACAAAAGCCAGCTTGAACAAGTGAGTCTTCAGCTGCTTTTTAAAGGAGACCACTGAGTCCACTGATCTCAGGCTCAGGGGGAGAGAGTTCCAGAGTCTGGGGGCCACAGCAGCAAATGATCTGTCACCTTTGGTCTTTAGCCTGGTGTGCTGCACAACCAGTAGGCTTTGATCACTGGACCTCAGGGACCTGCTGGGGGTGTAGGGACTGAGAAGATCACCAATGTAAGATGGTGCTTGACCATGTAAGGCCCTATAGACCAGAACCAGGATCTTGAAATGAACCCTGAAGTTGACTGGCAGCCAGTGAAGCTGGAGGAGAAGCGGGGTGATGTGGGTGTGTTTGGAGGACTTGGTCAGAAGCCGAGCACAGGCATTCTGAACCACCTGTAGACGGTTCAGGGAGGTTCTGCTCAGACACGTGAAAAGAGAGTTACAGTAGTCTAAGCGTGAGGAGATGAAGGTGTGGATAACAGTCTCAAGTTCAGGACGAGACAGAATGGGACTCAACTTAGCAATGTTCTTGAGATGGAAGAAGGAGGAGCGAGGAGCGATTAAGAGAACTGACATGAGAATCCAGGGTAAGAGCTGGGTCAAAGGTCACGCCAAGATTCCTGACAGAAGGTTTGGTGTGAGAAGCAAGCTGACCAAGAGAGTCTCTGACTTTGGGAACCAGCTTGTCTGGGGCACAGATGAGGAGCTCAGTCTTATCTTCATTCAGCTGAAGAAAGCTCCCAGCCATCCAGGTTTTAATAGAGTCTAAGCAGGTGTGTAAAAGCTGCAGCTTAGACATCTCATGGGGCTTAAAGGAGATGTACAGTTGGATGTCATCTGCATAAAGATGGTAGGAGATTCATTTGAAGGAGCTCAGGATGTGCTGAAGAGGAAGCAGATAGAGGAGGAAGAGCAGCGGCCCCAGCACAGAACCTTGTGGGACACCATGGGTGAGAGGTGATGGAGGACCTAAACTTGGAGACGGCCACAGAAAAGGAGCGCTCAGAGAGACAAGAGGAGAACCACTCCAGAGCAGATCCTGATAGGCCTACCCAGTCTCTCAGTCTCTCCAGTAGCAGGTGATGGTCAACAGTGTCAAAGGCTGCAGTCAGGTCCAGCAGGACCAGAACAGAACAGTCCCCTGCATCACTGTGAGTCAGAAGGTCATTAGAGACCCTAAGAAGAGCTGTTTCAGTAGAATGAGCTCTACAAAAACCTGACTGGAAGCTATCATAGATGTTATGTTCATCAAGAGCAGCTGTGAGTTGTTTAGCCACAACCTTTTCCAAGATCTTGGAGATGAACGGAAGTTTAGAGAGGGGTCTGAAGCTGCTATGGAGAGAGGCGTCAAGACTCAGTTTTTTAAGAAGCGGGACCAGAAACCAGAGAAGCATTAATTATAGAGAGCACGCTGGGACCGATGGACTGAAAAGCACTTTTAAACAAAGATGAGGGTAAGATGTCGAGGGGGCATGCAGAGGTCTTCATAGAGTTAACTAGTTTGGTTAACTCAGGCAAATAAACAGGAGCAAAGCTATCTAGGATGATGGGCCTGGTTGGAGTCAGGAGAGGCAGCGATAAGGCTGAAGGAGAGATGCTAGATCTAACCTTATTGACTTTGTCCACAAAGAAAGACAGAAAGTTCTCACAGTCTGCAACAGAGTGGATGGAGGCTGTAGGAGAGGCAGGAGAGACGATGCTGCTGATGGTGTTAAACAGCACCTTGGGGTTCCCTTTGCTCCGGGACACCAGGTTGGAAAAATAGGAAACCCTAGCGTCTCTGACTGCAGAGTTAAAGGATGTCAGAAGGTCCTTTAGGTGCAGCAGATGGACGTGGAGATGGGTGTTCTTCCACAAGTGCTCAATTTTTCTGCATTGGCGCTTCAGGCTGCGAAGGCTGTCATTAAACCAGGGAGTAGGGTTCACTGCAGGAACTGATCTGGTTCTGACAGGACAGATGTTGTCCAGAATGGAGAGGCAGCGCTCGTTAAACTGAGAAGTTAAGGAATCTGGGTTGTTATCAGAAGAACAAGGTGGGTCAAAAGCAGCAGAAAAACTGCTAGCTGTGCTCTCATTAAGAAAACGAGAACTAACCATACGGTGAGCAGGAAGTGGGGACGCAGAAACTGACAAGTTAAAGATAATGCAGTGGTGAACTGAAATATAAACGTCCTCAGGACAAACACTGTCAGCATTTAGACCCAGGGTAAAAACAAGGTCTAGAGTGTGCCCCCTGGTGTGTGTGGGGCCAGAAACATGCTGGGTAAAGCCGAAGGAGTCCATAAGGATGGAGAAATTCATGGCAAAGTGATCAGAGGGATCATCAACGTGGATGTTAAAGTCACCAACAATCACCAGTCTGGACAGCTTCACAGTGGATGATAGAAAGTCACTAAACTCCTGAAGGAAAGAACTGTTTGGACCAGGTGGACGATAAACCACAGCACAGTAGAACGGGTCCTTACGCCCGACTTTAATCAGCTGCAGTTCAAAGGAAGCAAAGTGACCAGAGGTTGTAGAGCTACATGGAAGATGGTCACTGAAAACAACAGCTAGGCCTCCACCACGACCAGAACCCCGGGGCTGGCTAAGAAAAGAATAACCACTCAGGCAGAGTTCAATCAGACCAGGACAATCAGATGTTTGCTGCCAAACTTCAGTCAGAAACAGAAAATCCAGATTTTTAGACAGAATTAAATCATTGAGCAGGAAGGACTTATTGTTAACAGAGCGGGTATTTAATAGAGCCATGCTGAGTGAGGTGGAGGAATCAGAAACTACAGAAACAGCTGGAGTTAGTGGACGTAAATTACCAGGGTTAGATCCACGGTGTTTATAAAAACCACTTATGGAGGGAACAGGAGGAGAAACCACTGAGTAATGAGGATAAACTGACCTTAAAAAACTTGGACGGAGAAACCGCGCTGCAACGCGGCCTGGCGGGAATGTGGAAGTGGCGCTAAAGTCGCCAAACAAAGGACAAGAAGCTAGAAGATCACACCAATGTTTACTATCCAATCCAATCCAATCCAATTTTATTTATAACTATATACTAGATAAACCACGCTTTAAGAGAAGTCTTGTTCTCACCTGGATTCCTGCTCATTTACCTCTTTTCCTCCGATGTTTTCCCGGGACAGGATAAACATCGCTGGAGGCGCCCTGGTTAGAATCATCGTACGTCCTCGGTGCATCTTGGGCGATCGTGAACGAACGGAAGGACAAAAGAGTCTGGCGATCATAGGAGATGGTAGCAGGGACACTACTGAAGAGGATCGCAGACAGGATTAAGGTGGAAAAGAGGAGGTTAGTGGGGAAAAGTTTGAAAAAGTGGTCGGTGGCGGCTAAAATCATCTGTGGACTAAGCCCTTAGTCTGAGACATGCGGTATAACCAGCTGCAGTCCAAGGATGTCTGAGATGATTTAGGTGAAACTACGGTTTTTAATTTTTGGGTAACTGAATATTTTTATTACAAAATGTTTTTTAAATGATTCTGCACAATGTTCATAAACAGGTCTTGTTTTAAAATTAAAATATGCTCTCAATGAAACCTTATTCACAATTAAACATTATACAAAAACTGGCCCGTGTGCGTTTTGAAAAGATAAAAATAGAACCAGGTAGATGTCAGAAAATCTTTCTGTAACTCAGCAGGGAGCAGCAAAGCACAATTACCATTTGATAAATATTAAAGCATGAGTTCATTATTTTATGGAATATCAACTGTACCATGTGATCTGAGTGAGTTTTCAAACTCTATAAACTCCAAATGTTTCAATAGAAAAACTAA